GAAAAAATCTCCGAAAAATCCCAAAAATTCACCGAAAAAATCTCCGAAAAATCCCAAAAATCCACTGAAAAAATCCCCCAAAAAATCCCAAAAAATCCCGAAAAATTCCCCAAGAAATCGCGAAAAATCCCCAAAAAATCCCAAAAATTCACGAAAAAAATCCCCAAAATTCACCGAAAAAATCTCCGAAAAATCCCAAAAATTCACCAAAAAATCCCCAAAAAATCCCAAAAATTCACAAAAAAATCCTAAAAAATCACCGAAAAATCCCCAAAAAATCCCAAAAATTCACGGAAAAAATCCCCAAAAAAATCCCAAAAAATCCCCATAACTCCCTGATAACTCCCCAATATTAATTTTAATTTAAATTTAAATTTTATTTCAGGCCCAGCAGGAGACTCAGCGCGCGGCGCTGCGTTACGAGCGCTGAACCTTCCAATCCCCCCAAAAAATCCCTGAAAAATCCCAAAAATTCACCAAAAAATCCCCGAAAAATCTCAAAAAATTCCCCAAAAAATCCCAGAAAATTCACCAAAAATTCACCAAAAAATCCCCAAAAAATCCCAAAAAATCCCGAAAAATTCCCCAAGAAATCGCAAAAAATCCCCAAAAAATCCCAAAAATTCACCGAAAAGATCCCCGAAAAATCCCAAAAATTCACCAAAAAATCCCAAAAATTCACTGAAAAATCCCAAAAATTCACTGAAAAAATCCCAAAAATTCACCATAAATTCACCAAAAAATCCTGAATAAAATCCCAAAAAAATCCTAAAAAATCCAAAAAAATCAGAAAAATTCACTGAAAAATCCTGAAAAAATCCCCGAAAAATCCCAAAAATTCACCAAAAAATTCCCAAAAAATCCCTGAAAAATCCCGAAAAATTCACCGAAAAATCCCAAAAATTCACTGAAAAAATCCCCGAAAAATCCCAAAAATTCACCAAAAAAATCCCAAAAATTCACCGAAAAAATCTCCGAAAAATCCCAAAAATCCACTGAAAAAATCCCCCAAAAAATCCTGAAAAATTCCCCAAGACATCGCGAAAAATCCCCCAAAAATCCCAAAAATTCACCGAAAAAATCCCCGAAAAATCCCAAAAATTCACAAAAAAATCCCAAAAATTCACTGAAAAATCCCAAAAATTCACTGAAAAAATCCCCAAAATTCACCATAAATTCACCAAAAAATCCTGAATAAAATCCCAAAAAAATCCTAAAAAATCCAAAAAAATCAGAAAAATTCACCGAAAAAATCCCCGAAAAATCCCGAAAAATCCCCATAACTCCCCAATATTAATTTTAATTTTAATTTTTATTTTAATTTTAATTTATTTCAGGCCCAGCAGGAGACTCAGCGCGCGGCGCTGCGTTACGAGCGCGCCGTGGGAATGCACAACGCCGCCAGGGAAATGGTTCTGGTGGCAGAGCAGGGCCTGGGCTCGGCCAAAAATCGCCTGGACCCCACCTGGCAGGAGATGCTGAACCACGCCACCAGGAAGGTGGGAAAATTGGGGAAAATTGGGGATTTTGGGGGAAAAAATTTGGGGATTTTTGGGGGGAAAATGGGGGAATTATGGGGAAAAAATGGGGAAATTATGGGGGAAAAATTGGGAATTTTTGGAGAAAAAATGGGGATTTTTGGAGAAAAAATGAGGGAATTTTGGGGAAAAAATTGGGAATTTTTGGAGGAAAAATGGGAATTTTCGGAGAAAAAATGAGGGAATTTTGGGGGGAAAATTGGGAGTTTTCAGGGAAAAATTGGGAATTTTGGGGGAAAAAATTGGGGATTCTACAAAACAAAATTTGGGGAATTTTGGGGGAAAAATGAGGGAATTATGGGGAAAAATGGGGATTTTTCGGAGAAAAAGTGAGGGAATTTTTGGGGGAAAATTTGGGGTT